TTTTTTTTTTTTTTTTTTTGTTGCTAATACTAAAAAAACGGTATTTCAATTTTTTTTTTAGGATTATATTTCAGACAGTCCCCTCAAATGATACATTGATAAGGTATTTATTCACTATATTTAGACAAAATGCAATTTTTGCACACGTTTAAATCAAAACTCTACATCTGCCCATTTCTCCTCATTCCACTTTTAGACTTAATCCTCATTTCGCTATGATGGGTCACATATATTATATTTGCAAAGTGTAACTGGTGTCAAACCAAACTGATCAGACCCAATGTCCCTCTCTCACCTGAAGACGTCCCACAGTGGTCCTGATCTCCTTCGTGTCCCCCACAGTGACGATATTCGACTTGAGCATCTGCGTGATCAGGAGAAGCCAGTCGTTCAGTTCGGTGGCCGTTTTGTTCAGGTCGGTGGGTGCCACCGAGTCGGCTGAGTGYGGGGTTCGGTGATGGGGGGTTTCGCTCGCCAAGCTGACCATCTGAACGGCGGAGGGCACCGCTGACACTGAAGCAGGTGGAGAAAAAAAAAGATAAAGGTTAATTCTCAGTAATCATGGAAGTGATGAAAGGAACGTTTAGCACGATGGAGTTGTCGAAGAATCCCAGAGGAACGCAGCATCGCAGTGAATCAGGATCAATGAGGCATCGGAGACGCTTTCTGTGCTTACCATCCAACATAAATAAAACACATTTCTAATTGTTTTCATACCGAGCTGCTGGTGTTGGACAACGTGTTGGTGATGTGTCCACGGAGAGACAGGAGCCTGAAGAGATTCCCTCAGTTGGCCGTCCAGGATTTTCCAATCAGCAGCCAGCTGCTCCACCTTCCCCTTTATACACCAACAGGAATGCGTGACTTTAATTAATGACTTGGCAAAACACGTTAGCACAAGAAACAGAGGGTATCAAGATTTYTATAAAATAACCTATTAAATGTCTGTAAAACAGCCAGTTAAACCACAATAACTCACAAGACAGAGAATTACCCCAGGTGAAGTGGAGACACTTTGAAAGTTCAATACAGTAATTAAAAGCAATATGTTCTTTATTGAATTTTATTACTCTGGAATCTGCTACCTTTTCCTGAGGCAACAGCTGCTGTCGTTTCTGCAGCTCAATCGAATGAGCCAACAGATCCTCCAGGTCCTTCTTTCTGTCTTTCATAGAGGCCTCCAGTTCCTAAGACAAGGTTGGGAGAAATAGGAAGGCGTTTGTGCAAATTATTTATGGGTTTTTCAAGCGTGGCAGGATCTCGAGACGATTTGAGGCAGCGTACCAGTGCCTGGCCAGGATTCAGGCCTCGAGTCGTGATTGTCTGGTTTGTGCCGACGACCCAATCTGTCATCTTGTTCATCCTGTCCTGGAACAGAGCGTGACTTTGCAGGTTGGTCTCCACCTCCCCAACTTTGTCCAGCAACTCATGAGTTACCTGCAAAGCAAAATACATAGATATAAAAATAAAAGAAAGTGTTAGAGGCTTCAGGAAATGAAAAAAAAAACAGCYTGATGAGTAAGTAAATGAGGACAGAAGCTAATTCCATTTTAGAGATAAAAAAAAAAAGTGAGTTATTTGTCCAGGTTTACCTTGCTCCATTTAAGGTTGATGGTTCTCAGTTTCCCCACATGCTGGTCTCGGCTCTGGGGGCTCACACTAGGACTGGCCAAGATCTGCGGAGCGTGTTTGTTCAGCCAACCGAGCCGTTCGTTCTGCGCATCCATTTCGTTAGCAATGGCCTGCAAAGACAAGTGCGCCCACCCTTCATTTCACAGAGAATCCCACGCAGATGGAAAAATAAGACAAGCCGAGGACACCGAGACAAATGAAGACATTTCGTGCCGTTTAACAGCAATCGTTTCTCAATACGGTTCCCTGTGGAAACGTTTGAGAGAATCCAAAATGATTAAATATAGTTTCCTTCATCAAAACTTTAAGGTTTCTTTAAATACTTGAGCTTGTAGATTTGGGTTTGGCTATACCGTCAGCTCGCTGAGGTTGTTTTCTGTGGTAAAGACGGGCAGCGAGCCGACAGCGTTTTCTGCCTGCTYCAGCCACACAGCCAGCTCCTCACGTCTCCTCACCAGGTCAAACAGGGCAGGATCCTCTCCAGCCAACCTACACACACACATAACACACACGGTGCCCTCAGATTAGAATCTACATTTGCTGGAGGTTACAGGACTAATCCTAAAATTTACGTTTAAATTGCTGTGGCGACCTGATCTACCACACTGATAAAGTTGACCTGCAAAAAAACGACCCACAGCCTGGTGATGATAAAAATCTTCACATTAATACGACCGAGCATTAGGGCCACACAAGTATATACTGTGTATATATA